AAAAAGGGAACGCGACTATTGGGGGGCAAATTCAAGTCCCGGATATGTATTCGTGTTCCCATTGGTGACGAGTTTCAAATCAGCCAATGAGAGCACGATTTTATATCCGGGACTTGAATTTGCCCCCCATTAGCTGCGTTCCCAATTTTTAAATTCGATGCCTCCTCTAGTGTTATTTATAATCTCTATGGCTATAACTGCATACGATTGGTACTCTAAATTTAACAGTCATTCTAAAAATACGAGTGATCTTTTGACATGTTTTGACAGATTGGAAACAGAGCATGCTCAACAGATATCAAACACAAAAACGGCAAAGCCTTATTTTCTTCGCGAGGGGAAATCAGGCTCTGCACTCAGTGTACATCTATAGTTTTGTTATTGGCATAATATCAGATTAGTCTATTGATTTCATATGAGAAGCGAAGGAAATAACTTAATAAAGTTGTACTGTGTGTTTCATTGATATGTTTAAACATAATACCCAAACAGAAGTAAATTTTATATTAATTAAATGATGCAAAATTTGACTAACTAAACAGACTCACAGTTTGAATAATAATTAGCACGGAATATATATAAAAGAAATGGATACGAACAATTGAAAAACAACCAATCAGCCAATCAGGGCTCGATTTTCGATGGCGGTGTTTCACAGAGCATCACCAAACCTCTCCTCAGAGATTTTTTCAGGGTTGAGTTGGAGTTCATGCATTTTTCCTAAACTTCTCATGGATTCGTCTAACATTGTACATAAATTTCATCAACTAGAGGCAGTTTCGTTTCAAAATATAAAACATAATTGGCTTGTTTGATTAGTTTGTTTCTGTCAGTCATATTGTTGAACTAGCACAATTATAAGCTTTGATGAAGATTTGCTCAATGTTCTTCAATCGCTAAACAAATATGTGGTTTCGTTTTCCGAGTATGGGGTGCTCACCCGTAAAAAGGTACGAATGCAACTGCCGTGGCCAAAACGCTTGTAATGTAAACCGGGCTTAATAAATTGAGCATAGGTATAGGCATCGTGCGTTTGGCGAGAGTTAACTCGTTAGCTAACACATGCCGGTCGGTTGGGTGATTATGCATGCAAAAGAAACATTTCGTGTCATTTTCTTTATCCTGTCATTACATTTGAAGTTGCGGCACGATCTGAAGCACGAAATAAAACGCTTTATTAAAAGAGATCTAATATTTCACGTTGTAATGAAACGATTGTTGAAATTGATCCGATGTGTCAAAGTGGGCGAGTGTGCATCGATGCGGCATATGGGGTGCATGGTCATGGTGCATACGTTTCTTCAAGAGCAAAGAACATAAATTCAATCAAAAACTCCCACAAGTACATTTTATCAATAATAAACAATACTGATTTCGATTTTAATCCGGTATTAAAGTGTTTCATTACATTCTTTTTTCTTAATTGATACACACATTTCATCCTTTCAAATCTAGCACTAATTTTCCAGAGAATTTACACGCGTTATAAACGACGAGCACCACGACCTACACTGCGAGCTGCACGACCAGTGTAACGACGTCGACCTGGTCTGCGTTTGAATATGTATGGTTCATCTTCCATGTTTGATGGAGTCTCTTCGTTTACACTGTCCATCAAGGAATACTCACTAAATTAGAAGTATCAAAATTAGTGTTATTGACATGAACTGAATGATGAATTCATTTACTAATTATGCCGATTATGTCTTTAACTAGATGTCTTTTAGAAATATGATATGTACATATGTATGATACGATATAGGTTACTAATGGACAAAAATTATTTTGGTTCAATGTGTTCTGGTATGGTGACGTATGGCAACTTAGAGTTTGATCCGATTTTTGTTTGATATAGTATGCTATATGACCTGGCTCGGTGCACGGTGCTGTGCACTGACACTGAAAATGTTTGCATTTAGGATACATATATAGAAAAAAAACACCATATTAAAAGGTTTTGGGAGAAACATTTCAAATACTATGTAAACTGTATCAGTTATGTATAATTTTCTGAAGGAATTAAAGTGGCTTACAAATCTTCTTTGTCGTTCATTGAATCTCCAAGAGATTGAAAATCATCTTCCTTTCCTTCAATGTGCCGAACATCAAGAAGTACAGCACACACAGTAACCAGTAATGCTAGGATTGTTAAACACTTCATCGCGATGGCTGATTCCCTTTGGATGGTTTGACTGTTTGGTTGGGTCTTTTATTCGTAGTCTGGAAGGCGTGGCTAGAACATGAGGGGAAGTGTGTGCATGGCAACATGTTAGCATGGAATATTATTTTTAGCGTTCGTGCAAGGGATTTCCTGTCTACATATTGTTTCCTGCATACAAGGGATTTCCTATCTACATTTGCGCTGCAGGCACATTTGTGACTGCATAATTTTGTTCAAAGAACGTTGATAGTGCATGCAAACCATGCTTAAATTAATTGAGATTTGGGTAATAAAGACATTGCATGATGAGATAGCTACCAACTGCGTATGCATGATACCTAGGATTCTCCAAAAATTCATCGCGATAACTAATTCCTTTCCGATCGCTTAACCGTTTGCTCGTGCTTTCTATTTGTAGCTTGTAAGTCAGACCTAAATTCTGTAGGGAAGTGTGTGCATGTGCATGGAAGCATATTACCAGCATAGCATGAGAGATTGTCTTTGGTGTGAATAACAAATGATATCCTATAAGTCCAATTACTGATTTAGAAAAAAATCATTGTACTTTAGTTATTACGTCAAGTGAGTACACTCGCCTTTCGCGTACGAAGATAAGATAGCCTGGCTCATTTTGTGATTGAATTCGTGCATATTATTGTAACATAAAAATATAGAACTGACAGTGGCCAAAGTCCAAAACAAATGTAAGCGTAACATTAGAATTGAAAAAGCTTTAGAAATTCGATAAAAATTCGAAGACTCGACCGAGTTTAAAATTTGTGTTCTGCGCATAGAAAGCGCGCACGACCACAATTCCATGCGCTAAATCAAATTTAGTTCAAAACCCCCTCTCTGCACATATTAGGCTGCTGCTACGCTCGCTCGCTCCGCAGCAATTACAATATATCCAAATATTATATATATGTAGTTTCTTGTTATTGTTATATTTGTGGCAAACATTAAAATTAAAATTCACTTCAATCATCTGGCTGCATTTGCGCTGCACACACACTCGTCAATGCCTATATAGTTTGTCCAAAGAGCGTTGATAGTGTAAATCAAGCCTATAAATGTTATCTCATAAATGATGGCCTGAAAATCACAAATTCGCTAATAATATAGCTGTAAAGTGTGCAGTGCATCTAGTTCTGTGATGGCATAAAATTTTGGAAAAGTATAATAAATAAATATAGGCCTTTTGGCATCTCATTCGCTAGAACTAAACGTTGAAGGATTTCCGTAGATGGAAATTTTGATAGTAACTCGTGCACAGTTTGGATGGCTGCAATTTATAATTAAAAATGCAACTATTGCCTTCGGGCAGGATTCGAAACTGCGGTCTTGCGAATCCGCAGCGTATAGTAACCGACAGAGCAACGGAGTCAAGTTGGCGAGAGCGTTGACCACAAATGCTTTAGAAGTGTTTGACCTTCAAATCTTGGCTGTAAGACGTGAATCCTTATGCTCAAACGTTTTTAACAAATATGTACTTTTCCAGTCCCTTCACCGTTATCTACATGTATATAACCTAATCTGCATTCTGCATGGGGTTTCGTGATTTATACTGTCCATAAAGGCGTGCATAATCAATAAATTGAAACTTGTTGGTGAATATATTCACCAAATGAAATCAGTAATAGACAAATACTATTTTGTTGCAAAGTGTTGTGGTATATGATGAGGTGTGGCAACTTCGAGTATGATGTGACATTTGTTTGATATTGATCGACTCTTTGATCGGGATTTTTATTTGTAGCTTGCCAGTAGTGGCTAGAAATTTGGAGGAAGTGTGTGCATCAAAGCATATTACCGACATAAAATAGCATGGCAGATTATTTTTAGCGTTAACAACAAGGGATTTAGTACAAGTGAATATCAATTATGCTGTTTTAGTGCGGAAAAAATCTTTCTTTTCTTTGCCTATGGCAAGTACTGATTCGCCGGTGAATATAGCCTGAATAATTTTTATGATCGATGTATAAGCATGTATTTGCACTGCACGCACAGTTGTGACTGCATATTTTTGTTCAAAGAACGTTAACACTGCATGATAGTGCATGCAAACCATGCTTAATTAATTCAGATTTTGGTAATAAAGAACCCTAATTGCAGGTTATTAAATGAGATAGCTATCAACGGCGTATCGATAACACATAGGATTCTCCGCCACAATTCTTCGCGATGACTAATTCCTTTCGGCTAACTTGATTCGTTCGTGCTTTCTATTCGTATAGCTTGCCAGCCATATCTAAATTCTGAGGGGAAGTGTATGTATGTGCATGGAAGGAGTATCACCGGCATAGCTTGACAGATTGTGTAGATCAAAGCATATTACCGACATAAAATAGCATGGCCGATTATTTTACCGTAACTGCAATTAAGTTTAGTGAAGAAATCTTTCTATGTAATATATTACTTTCTTTCATAATATATTACCGTCATGAAATAGCATGAGATATTGCCTTAGACTGCGTCAAGAACAAGTTTTGTCCTGATTATAAGTTAATTTATTGCATGGTTAAAGAAATTGTTGTGCTTTATTACGTCAAGTGAGTATAATTATTCGCCTTTTGCGTATGAAGATAAATATAGACTGAATCAGTTTTTTGATGGAATCCTTACCAACATCTCTTGTATTTGCACTACCTCCGAAACCATGATAATTTCTTTTAGGCAAAAAATGTACAGCGAGCGAGCACGGACCCAAGTCATTTAGAACTTTATATATTTGTACCTTCTTTGACTTGAGTTGGCTTGTCGAGTCTCAAGTTTTTTTCCCATCCTAATACACATATGTATTGCTTCTAGTCCAGGAGTATCACTGCTTATATTTAACACTACTCTTGCAGTTCTATTCTGAAGTTATTGAAGTCTGTTAGAAAGGCATGTACCCATGGTATATTCCATATCTCACGCAATAATCAAAGTGAGGACGAATTTAAAGCATCGTGATTTTGTACATTTCCTGCCGGAACACCTTTTCTTAATTAACGCCAGTAAATTCGCCCCAATAAAATGACGTTTTACTCGTTTCGCAGCGACACAAATTCTACTCTCAGAATGCTGTTGCATGCAGTGTAGGCTTACATACTTCGATAGCGTTAAGCAGGCTTTCATCTTTAAAACGACAGTTGATCAGCTCATATGACAACTCGATGTGTTGTGATTGATATGATTGCTCTTTATTTTTTGTCGTTTCCTTCAAGTTAGGTAGACAAACTACAGGAGTGGAACCAGGATATTACCTATCAAAGAACCTCTTTGTTCACGACTAGTAAACCGTCCAATCAGTTTGGGGAGAGGGGGTTCAATCTCGTCTCCAGAGTAAAATTTAAATTAGTACGGATTTCAGTCATTTGATCACATTCCCAGCAGCGAAAAATATTGGTTAAAATCCCATTTACAAAAGGCAAAATCCATTTCCACATTAAAAACGAATGAAATTTCAGTCTCTGCATTTTACAACTCCAGATGATCTCTAATTAAGGAAACTTTTATATCATATTCATGTTAAGTTGTACGGGTCGTAGATTTGGCATGGTTTGTGTTTAAAGGATATTGAACATGTCAGTCGATAGAACTAGTTGTGGGCACCTCGGAAAAATACAACTTTTGGCCCTTTAATTGGCCCTTTGGCAAGAATCCAAAGCGCGCTAGCTCTGCGATGGGAAAGCACTTTAACCAACAGAGCTGTGTTGTAGTGCAGTTATACCGAACACAAGTTCAGGCAATACAAAGGTGCAAAAAATCGTGATATTTACCCTGAACTTGTGGTTAAACTGATACTCGACAGCTGAAACTTGAAACCTGAAGATCAGTTGGCTGGATCGCTTCCACGGTACGTAACGTAGGTCGCAGGTTCGATCCCTGCCAGAGGGCCTATATAGTTACATTTTTTCCTAAACCTCTCATGGATGCGTCTAAAGTTGTACACAAATTTCACCAACTTGAGGTAGTTTCGTTTCAAGATATAAAACATAATTGGCTTTTTTCATTAGGTTGTTTCTGTTAGCCATAGTTGAACTATGTATAATTACAAGCATTGTTAAAGATTTTATCAATGTAGTTCAATCACTAAGCAAATATGTGGTGCCATTTTCCGAGTATGGGGTGCTCACTGTAAAAAGATGCGAATATATGGGTGTGCCATGGCCAAAACGCTTGAAACGTAAACAAGCCTTAATTAAGCATAGGTAGGCATGGTGCGTTTGGCGAGAGTCGACTCGTTAGCTAACACATGCTGGTCGGTTTGGTGGTCAATGCATGCAAAAGAAACATTTCGCGTCATTTTCTTTATCCTGTGCGGCGTCTCAATACATTTGATGTTGCCACGATGTGAAGCACGAAATAAAACGCTTTATTAAAAGACAACTAGTATTAAAGATACCTACTATTTCACGTTGCAGTGTAACGATTATTGAAATTGAATCCGCGAAGTGTCAAAGCGGACGAGTGTGTATCGATGCATGTGGAGCAAACGGGGTGCATGGTCAACATGGTCAACATTCACGGCAACAAACATCGATAGTACACTGCGCCTTTTTGCTGATGATAGTGTTATTTACCGAGAGACTCATAGTCACCAAGACCAGATCTTATTACAACAGGATCTGGAAATGTTACAGAATTGGGCCCACCTCTGGCAACTAAATTTTAATGTCTCGAAATGTTATCATGTTAGAATAACTAAAAAGGTGAACCCCCTGATCTATACATATGTTTTGGATGGTGAAGCCATTTTCAGTACTTCTTCAACCAAGTACCTTGGTATAACAATAACAAATGATCTTAGCTGGAATAAACACTGCGACATGAACGGTCTGATGAATAGATTTTACTAATTATGCTGATTATCCTTTTAACGTCATTGGCTGGGTAAACACAATTTCATGACTATAAACAATACCGAGTATTGCCACGCGTAGTGTATTTTGAACCGAAACAAAAGGCAGCAAAGTTTTACCAAGTATGTAACTTGTTTGTAACACTATTTCTCATAGTA